GTTATTAAGGCCCTAATCTTATTTCTTCCGCCGCAACTCATTTTCTTTTTCTGTTCGTTCAATCTCTTTCTCTCTCGCTAAGCCATGACCTTTAAGATCGATCGAAATCTCGCCAAAATTCGCCGAAGTCGATCCCGACAGATTACCCTTTTTGTTTCGCCAATCAGATTTTCGCTCAAATCGCTCAATAATCCCAACCCTTCAATCGTCTTCTCCACCATCGCCATTCGCGTGTGTATGTGCGGGAGGAGAAACGAGCAGCAACGCCTTCTATCCTCTCAGCCCTTCGCCGAAGAGCATCACCTCCGTCTGCGACCACCGGCAACGCCATAGACATGCGAGCAGTGCCGCAGTGAGTAGTAGCAGTCCACCCGTCCTTCTTGTACCTCAAGCAGCAAGTCCTGTCGGCCCCTGTTCACTACATCGGGGGTATCGTCAGCCTTCGTCGAGCGGCAACAGCCGCTGCACGTTCTGCCTGGGAGGAAATTTCGCCGAGAAAATCCCAGTCGTTCGCCATAGCCGTGTAGACCCCCGAGCTTTTCTGGCAACGAGCAGCAGCCACTGGAGGCTCTTATAGAGCAACCGTTGGATTCATTTCCGAACAACAACAGCCCTGATCTGGTTATACGACGAGCAGCGGGGACTTTTTCGATGAACAGCAGCCCTTTCGGGCCCCGGACGAGAAGAGAAATGGGTCGATCCTTTACCGGTTTAGTGAAACTCATCCTTTACCGGGCGTAAGACATTGGAACTCATCGACCACACTCCTTAATCGAAAACCATTGATTAAGGATTCATACACGGTTTAGTGGAACTTGGAGCTCTTGGTTCAAGGGTCGAAAGAAAAAGGCTCAAGAGGCTAACAAAATTTCTCAGCATGAGAATTGGTCGAACAGTTCAGAAAAGAAATAGATGGTTCGGGGTTAGTGCACTATCACCCAAGAGGCGGCACACTCGCTGGCACTGCATAAGCAGGGCACTGGGACACGCGCATACACATCTACTCGGAGACCAGCTGCAAGGTCGAGGTTTGGCCGCACACGGTGACTCGGGGAGTTCGTGCGTTCGGTGATGACGACTGCAGCTCTCGTGCGAGTCAACGGTCGGCCCCATGGTTGGCCTCGCGTCTCTCAGCTCGGGTCTGCGTGCTCAACCACCACTTCGCATGGCTACACCCAGTCAGGGTCGGTTTTCGGTCCAAGGTTCCACAAGAAAGTTACAATCCAAAATCACTAAAAAGAAATGGTTTTACAAATTTGTTCGAAAAAATTGGGTTTAACAAAGCAATACATCATTCAGGTGTTTCACTATTTCAAAAGTTTCAAGAGTCTCATAAATGGTAAGGTGTAAGTCCGAGTTCCACGTCCACTACTTTTCCAAAACAGCAAAATGCAGTACACCACAAATCTAACGATAGGCGAAATTTCAAAATAACTCTAATGGCGATTCTCCCCTAAGTCAGCGGCTCCTGCCGAGACATTTAAATAGATAGCTTGCCTCGACTCTCCCGACTAACAGCGTCGGCCGTCACGTCAACTCTCCATTAGGTAGCTAATCGTGCCGACAGTCTTGAATGAGCGCAACCCCAAAACTACAAGTAACCGAACAAGTCTTAATTACTTGGCAGCGGTTGATCATACTTGCCGTCGGTTGGTCGGTCCTGACAACATCTCGAGAATAGACCAGGATGTCATCGATAGAGAAAATGACACCCTGATTCGGATGTGAATGGAACAATCAGTCCATTTAGTCCACAAAAACAGCGGGGGATCACCCAGTCTGAAATACATATCTACAACTTGAGGAAATGATATAAGACAAGTGGAAAAACAAATTACTTGTCTTAATTGATACACAAGGTTGCAACACTCGAATCAAAGCAAGAACAAGTGTTTGCAAAGAATCGTCAAGATCCAAAGAAAACAAAAATTTCTCTCTAAACTCCGCAAGGAGTAAAAGAACGAGAGTTTCTAAGGACTACGGAACAAACTTCAAGAATGAAGACAGTTTTGCACCTCACGATGTGCTTGTACTGGACTCGACTATCCTCCTTAAAAGACCCTTCATAATCTTTTAAGGTGGAAGAACACTTCTTTGTATTGCCGTCGACTTCAATATGGAAATGAATCTTCTTGACTCCCTTCATAGCGATGCAATACTTCACGATCCTGGATTGGATGTCCGTGGGGTTTCTGTCACGCCGAATCATTCCTAGAACTGCGTTTGAGTCCTTCGTACCGATCCGCTAGGTGTTGGCTTCCACGCTCGTCCTCCTGAAGTTACGTTCACCTTGATCACAGTTAAATATGCACCCTTCGTCTTCCTCGTGGTCAGATTTCTCTCGAGAGTGGTGATGGTATTCGCGTTCTAAAATATTCGCATCGACTAAGAGGTATCACAAAACAAGATTCCTATTTTACGAGAATAGATAAGGATCAATAGAAAGTTAAGATGCTTAACTCAATCCGAAATCTTATTCTACGCAAGGAATGAATTGACAAGCGAAAATTCTAAATTACGGAAATTGAATAGCAAAAAGAGTCTCAAGCACAGTTCAGAATTGTCTGCCAAGCGAAAGGAAATAAACAAAGGTTTGCAAAAGTCTACGAGAATACAAGACTTAAGAAAGAAACAAGACTGTTTCAACTTCACGAGTCCACCATTCACTTCCTCCACCATCGGTTCAAGTCGTCACCGATTAGTCCCGTTGCCGCTAGGTGATCGCTTTCGACCCAATACACGGTAGATAATTTGTCGTTTCCTTCAAGACTGAAGTGTCAACTCGCAGTCATGGCATAGGATATTCACACGGTGTCAGGTCGGCTTATCCGCCCTAAGAACAAAGTCGGATTCCTTCATTTGAGTATTTTCGCAAAAGAATAGACAACTATCGTCTTTCTCGAGGCTTAGCCACCCGCGAGAGTCGCGACAGTCTTACGTATTAAGTTTTTCCACCACTCCTCGGGGTCGAACGACAGCATGGACAAGACACCTAGACTCTTCTCCCGGTTCGCATTCGGCTTGGTTTTAACTCGCATCTGATGGTTCTATCAACAATGTTTACAGACTCCCGAATACCCACACACTTGGGACTTTTTCGGTTGTCTGCTCCCTTCACTTAAGCCTTCTCCTTTCGAGATGGCTTGTGAATGGTCCTCACTCGAAGACACTAAATTTATAGCGAGAGAATTGCTATAAACCGAATTTAACTCGATAACATCATATCGAAATTCTCAACCAACAACCTCTAAAGCTAGAACTTAACTCTACACCACTAGAGTCCAAGTTCATACAACTAAAGTTCGCAACTCATTTAGAGTTCAAGAATGTTAAAAGCAGGAGGATAAATTCCTAAGCCTCAAATTAATCAAACATTAATCACATCATATCATATTATAAGCAATATCATCATCACTTATGAATACATACCTTGAGCTGGCGCGGCTGGACGAAGCGAGGGGTCATATACACAAGTATTCAAACAAATTCAGAAGCAGTCTATAGAAACGTAGACTTGCTCTGATACCAAACTGTAACGCCCCGTTATTTTTAAGTGAAAAATACCAATTTATTTTTCCAAAAATCAGAGTAAATTTTTCAAAAATCAGTTTAAAGATTTATTTAACAGGCACTACTCGAAAATTCACATAACAACAGTTTAAGTCAATCACTTAAACTACGGGGTACATCCATCTTGAAAGTTTCTCGAGTCGGTAAGATAAGAAGTTTCGTGTTGTTATCTGACGGAGCCTTATGTTGCGTATAGAGGCTACGTTTGACTCGTAGAGTCAAAATTGTTGAGAGTATGAACATATTGGAGTTGCACCGACTATATGGGTACCGTATTGACGTTTCTGATGGAGACGCACGGTCCGTAATGAAATCGTGAGCAAGTTTTCAGTGTGACCCGAGCACGAGACTAAAGCTTGGCGTCACGTACCCACCTTGATGGTTGGGTAGTTGTAGCACGCTAGCAATACACCGAATGACCTGTTGAGGTCTTGTGTGTTGTTAGGTACGTTGCGAAATGGTTGATGCACATGAGTATAGGTTAAGTCGGACTGGGTCCCTTGCAAGAGGATGTACGCCTGAGCACGGGCAGGATGGATTACCCTCCCCTGCAAGAAGGTAAGCATATGAGCATAGGGCGAGTCAGATTTGGTTTGTATTGGGTGTATGCCATTTTGAGTTTAGGGCAATAAGACTCAGAAGAGCGAGGTTGAGTTTCGGAAGGGATATTCGGACCTTATGGTTACAAATTCTCACTTGAGTTTGTCGTTTCCTCTGGTTGCGTGTTCTTTAGTATTTCTGGGGATGGAAATCTTTTAAGGAGGATAGAATGTAGCGCCCCGTTCGTTTATTAGAATTTCTCAAATTTTATATTAATTATTTATTTGCCTCGCTTTTATTTTAGCCGTAGTGCTCGACAACCTATTAAGTTTATTAGAATTAAATAGATGTCCTCGTCTATTAAATTTTCGTAATTAATTTACCTAATAAAAAATTTAGATTTAAGAAGATGTCCTCGTCTTCTTAAATTCTTTGGTGTTCTTTCGTTTTACTAAATCATTCTAAGTGTTTAAATTGCTTTGAATTTGCATCATGTGCCTACGTGTAATTTTATGTCTAAGTATAATTTATGTGCTTATTTATATGTAACTGTTTAAATGGTTACCTAAGTATTTTAGTCCATCACCTAGCCCAAAAGCATCCTAAGAGTTGCTAATCGGCCCATTACATATTAGACCAAAGCCTACCATTCATTATCAAGCCCTAAATTGTTATGAAGGCCCTAATCTTATTTCTTCCACCGCAACTCATTTTCTTTTTCTGTTCGTTCAATCTCTTTCTCTCTCGCTAAGTAATGACCTTTAGGATCGATCGAAATCTCGCCAAAATTCGCCGAAGTCGATCCCGACAGATTACCCTTTTTGTTTCGCCAATCAGATTTTCGCTCAAATCGCTCAATAATCCCATCCCTTCAATCGTCTTCTCCATCATCACCGTCCGCGTGTGTATGTGCGGGAGGAGAAACCGAGCAGCAGCGCCTTCCATCCTCTCAGCCCTTCACCGAAGAGCATCACCTCCGTCCGCGACCGCCGGCAACGCCATAGATACGCGAGCAGTGCCGCAGTGAGTAGTAGCAGTCCACCTGTCCTTCTTCTACCTCCTTCGACAGTATGCAGCAAGTCCCGTCGGCCCTTGTTCACCACATCGGGGGTCTCGTCAGCCTTCGTCAACAGCCGCCGCACGCTCTGCCTGGGAGGAAATTTCGCCGAGCAGATCCCAACCGTTCGCCATAGCCGTGTAGACCCCCGAGCTTTTCCGGCAACGAGCAACTGCTGCTCGAGGCTCTTATAGAGCAACCGTCGGATTCATTTCCAAGCAGCAGCAGCCCAGATCGGGTTATACGACGAGCAACGGGGACTTTTCCAATGAACAGCAGCCCTTTCGGGCCCCGGGCGAGAAGAGAAATGGGTCGATCCTTTACCGAGAGCCAACCGTTGTTCGAGGATCAGTCACCGGTTGAAGAATGCCCGAGCTGCAGCTAATCGAGCGCATTTTTCCCAGAAACGAGAGTCGAGAACTCATAGCCGAGACCTGAACCTCTATTTCCATATTTCCTGAAAGAGAGGTTTGAGGAGTCGAGCCTCGACCTACGTTCTTCAGCTGGTGTATTATTGCCGACCCAATTTCCAGGTGGGTGTTGATAAACTTACCATGTATGTTAATTTTCTATAAATATTTGGTTTGATGATTTAGGTATGCATGTGAACCGGTAGTCTATGAGGCCTAACTCTAGCCTTTAGAGAGCGCAATCTTAGTGTGGGCGGCTCTAGTCCTGGGCTGGACGACTTGTTCCTATCTTTCCTGGTGTGGGTTGATAGGATAGAAGTGTGATCACATGAGCGTGGTTGTGTCTAGGAAGGGTAGATTAGTCGATTTGCTTACATACTGCGACCATGATTTCAAGTCTTTATATTGATTATACTGCATGGTATTCCCACGGTTTGTTTGCTCACTTCCACTATTAACCATCTTTTCAGGTTGAGCTGGTGGCCGTGGCGGAAGACGAGCGAGGCGGGGTCATTATTTGATATTGAACTGCTATTTATCTGCTTCCGCTTATTATTGATTATCTCATTGTTAGATTTGTTTAATTATCATGTGGAAACCGAATCATTATTTTCTGGGATTTTTATCATGCTTGGGATTTACGAAACTCGAATATTATTTGAGATTTGGTTTTATTGGATATATTGATCATGTTGGATTTGATTTGAATATTTCGCATAATTGAATAAAGGTTGAAACATGTGTATTGTTTGGCATGATATATATATATATATATATATATATATATATATATGTTATGAAATAATAAAATAATGTATATGAATGACTATTTTGCCCTCGATGTATTTGTATTATTACGAGTTGTGCCATCAGAAGTTTCCTATAAATAGGACCTTCAGTTATAATGAAAATCACACCTAAGAGAATACATTTTCTCTATTCTCTCTCTTTCTCTCTAGTTTTATAACACGTTATCAGCACGAGTCTCTGCCCTCTAGAGCTCGATTTGTAATATGACGAGAGTATGCTCTACGGTTGCATCTTGAAGATGAACCTCCGTATCAGAAATCTAAATATTACTTATTGTTCTTCTTATGAATCAACTCCCCCCATGGCAAGAAATCTGATTTTTCTCTCTACTTTATCACGACTTTATTTCGACCCATCTTTCCTAAAGCAACCAAGATCTTAAGCACCATGAGAAGAAAGACTATCATCATCCTAGCCTCCAGCTTCAAACTCGTAGGAAAGAAAAACGCTCCAGGTTCACGAAGCTCATGATATAAATGGTAAATACTTTACCAGAGAGGTATGCCAAAACTCATTCACCAGCATGTATTTAGCTTCTCATGATTTTGTTATCTCGTCTATTATTTAATACTTTTTCCAGTGACATAAAATGATGAACTTTGAGAGGTAACAAATTGAAGCTTGGAGGATATAATAAGTAGCTTAGAAATGTCTGATGGAGAGGAAGACGAAAGGTAATTGATGAAAGAGTAATAATGATCTTTCATTAGGTGGGGAAAATCAAAATAGGTGATATAATAAGTCGTGGGCCTCGTGACAATTAGAAAATGACAAATGACTAATGGCAACACATTCATATCAGAACATCCACCAAGTTTTACTATTTACAAGTTGACATAAATGCCAAAACACATTATGAGCTTATAATTTTTTATATGTTTTCCATTTTATTTTGGTGGGACCTTGTGACAAATTATATTGCTCAAACACAGTTGCATTGGTATAGAAATATCAGGCACATTAATTTCACATCAAGAAGTTAACACTCGTTATTGGAGTTCGTTAAATATAAAAAGTATTGATTATCGAAATTCAGTTTTCCCTATTTCACAAATTCCTATTTAATTAGAGCTTCGATTTAAGACCAATATTGATATGATTTATTATATTAATATATATTGTCATCATGAACTGTTGATTTTATTCTATTGAGAAAATTATTTGGTACATGAACGTGCGAATATTTATGTATTGACCCTTGTGATATGAAAAGAAATATATGTGTGGCTATATGGATCAGCCAGTGCGGCTCTGCCGCCGGCAAATAATATTTAATGGTAACCAACGGGTCAATTATTGATCAAAAATATTATAAAGAAATATGACCGATCATATGAAATGGCCAAGTGTTGCAGCCACCAGCAACAGATAATATTGAACGGCTAAATGGATCAGTCAGTATATTAATGATAACCGATGATATAGAATGGCCAGGTGGCAATGCCACGTGCAACAAATGAATGGCTATACATATACATGGGTCGGCCAGTGCGGCACTGCCGCCGGCGATGGACAATACAAATTAAGTGATAACCAATGAGTGAAATTAATGATACTTTGTATCTGACCATGTGAAAGTTAATTAAAGTCCTTGTCATGAACAGACATTATATGGACTAACCTGGTCCTGAAGTATCAGTTGATAAATTCTCCAAATTTATGGAGATTGATGAGATGGTACTATAAGTTACCACATGATTAATGTAATGTCGGAAGTTATGGCATAATGATTAAATGATATCATGGTATAGTAGTATTGGATGCTACAACTTTATGATTAAACAAAGTGATGAAATGGTACTAGAAGCTACCATTGGATGATTGAACAAAATGAGAAAGTGGTATCAAAAGCTACCAGCTATGGGTGATCACACAAAAATGATTTCTCAATATATTATATAAGTCTAAGGGGCTATATCAGATGACGAGATCACATTGGGATACGAGATCATACAGATATTACAATAAAGTGCTCCGGAAGAAGCACAAATGATAATGATTGTAGTCATGAACTACTATACACTGAGAAAAATCGAAATTGATATTATTATTACTGAGAAACAAGTACAAAATGTTCAGATGGTGGAAATATGGAAAAGAGGCAGTAAATACTCGATGAATACAAAATACGCAAAGATTACATAATAGAACCCATAAAAGAAGGGTGCGTCTCGAGAGTGTAAAACTCCGTAACTCTGCCACCCATGAATGATATCTGGGTTCATATTTGAATAATATCTGGGTTCATAATGAGAGATCTAAAGGATCAAAAGCTCTTTTTCGCTTGACCCCTTGTGTTTCCACAGAATCTTGAAATGTGATGCATTCTTGAAGCTTTTTGATAAGTTCAGCAGACGTGTCAGCAGATTTGAATACTTCTCTCATTGAAGGAGATATAAAGGTTTGATATACTCCTATGTCTAAAAATCCAAGCAAACCATGAAAGAAGTTATTAAAGTTCAATAGACCTATGGGCTTGTTATGAAGTTTCAATTCTGCCCATAAAGCAATGGTGAACATTGTCATTAGCGTTCCATACCCGCCTGGAAGAATGATAAAAGCATCGCTATTGTTCACCATATCCATCATACAATCATGAATGGAATGAGTTAACATCATGCTTGTGGAATCCTTGACGACCTTTGTTGAAGCTCTACGAAAAGGTATGATACTTTTCACTTCTATCTCAAAACATTGTCCAGCCATTAAGAGACTATCATAGAAAGTATTGCTAGTCCCTCCATACAGCAAATTGATTTTTTGATTCCCCATCTCTTTGACTAACTGACTTACAATATCAATAGTTTGAGAAAAACTTACCAGTTTAGAACCACCAAGAACACATATGGTTTTGATCGGTTGAAGAAAATTATTACCTTGCGAAGACTCTGAAACATCCATCTATTTATTGATAAACTGAATTTTTCAAAACTTTGTGAGGCATATGATTATGATGAACGACTCGCTATTTAAATAGAAAGTTTTACAAAGCAATAAATAATTTTACTGTTTTCTTCTGACAATTGCAACTGACAGATAAGGTGTTGGGTTTTAAATAAATCTTATCTGTCGGCAACTATAAGTTTTTCTAGAAAATTACAGTACAACATACTAAACTGTATTAGTATGATTTTTCGTACTAACAAGACCAGTTTTACAAACTTGATCTTTTGAAATAATATTTTCGAGACTATAACGTTCTTCTTCATTTTTGAACTGAATCCATAAAGACATAAGCTCACGATGCACGTATCCACTAGGATGTGTCTCAAGAATCTGTTGAATCGTTTGATCCAAAGACTCCTTACTCAATCCATCCTTTATAAACGTTATTTTATCTTCTCGATTTTTGGACACGTACCCCACAGATATACATCGTGTGTCACAAGTCCATCGAGCGCATTTGAAGCATCCACCTAACCTTTTTGCTCTTCGTTTCTTTGCATAAGTACTTTTACCCATACCTGGCATATATTTATATGAATATGGAAACTCTCCAGACAATCGAACTTGTGCTTCGATCAACCATCTAACATCATTTGGAATACCATTATTCATTAGCATCCTCAATCTTTCTAATCGAGATCGATAAATCCTTTTTATGATATTTTTCGGAAGAAAAGAATAATATTTACGGATATTTGAGAGTGCTAAATCCATTTGTAAATTCGGACCTTTGTTAAAGAAAATTGAATGAATTACCTGATAATTTATAGAAAAATATGATGCGTATGAGATACGACTCTGGACTTAAACAGTGTTCAAAAGTATGTGTGTCAGACAGCATGATACGATTCTGGATCTAAACAGTGGTTAAAAGATATTATACCAGAGCCTACACTTAAAGTGCATTTATTGCCGCCGAAAGATGATGTGAAATGTTTGTGATAAACATGTCACAACGAATTATTGTGATCACTTTAAAAATGTTTACCGATATTATTGATGATGGTTTGCATGATGAACTTATTCTTTGTGATATGAGATGCTTGTTCCCGATTGGTGAAAAATATTACTAGCTAAATATTTGTGAATCGATATATGATCAATCTGAGTATGAAAGGGGTACGATATATATGGGCCCACTACCCCTCCATGTGTGCTACTAGATATTATGGATCCACTAGATAGCCACATGTGTGTGATTCGTAACCTGAAGTTACGAGATGATTTGA